ATTTAATAGACGTTTACCTAATATCAAGCAGTTGGGTCGTTTCTCCGAGTCGAGTACGGATCTCATGAGCGTGGCACTCTGTAACGCGTTGCGGAACGCGTCCGTACTACGCTCGTCTGACGCGTTCAGTTCTACTGGTCTGTAGCCTGCAAAACAGAATATTTACAAGTTACATCAGACCATGTATTAGTACAGTAGAATATATTCTAAAATAAATAATAATAATATATATATATATGACACCATGCTTTCATTTTCAACGGTTGTCATCAGAGTCGACTACACAGACATGAGACAGATCTTAACTTTACATCTTGAAATCAGAAATAGCTTTTTTTTATTGGGATAAGTCCGTCACAACCTCCAAAAACCACTGCAACTCCTGTAAGCCAGGATCTACAGTAGATACTACAATGAAAATACCGAAACACTGAAATCCGGTGCGTCCCAGGGACATGAATAACTGGCTTGGATCCCATAACGAAATAATTCTGAGGATATTATATTATAAAGAAGAGAAGGAAAAAACGATAAATTCCACTTCCCTCGGTGTATTAATGTACAAAAAGAGATTGCACAACTGGGAGAAGTCTAGTCGTCAAGCACCACGAAAATTTGACTAAAAACAAAGTGGGAGTCAGAAATAACTGACCAGCTATCCTAGCCAGCAAGTGAGCCAGCGTCGTCTTCCCGACGCCGGGCGGGCCGCACAGCAGCGCCACCTTGTGGTGCGGCCTGCCGTCGTCGTCCAGTTCCGGCTGGTCCTCCTTCTTCCCCTTCCACTTGTTGGTCAGCTGGAACTGGCCAGCGCGCTTACTGAACGTTGTCCGCTGCTGGGGCTCCTTAGTCTTTACTTCTTTCTTGAATACTATCTGGAATTTTAGTACAGTTTTTAACTCGTCGAGTACCGTCATTATAGACACAATATAGAACAATAGGTTGCGGTCACCGGTGACCGCTTGGTGTTTGACAGTTTAAGAGTACTAAGTCATAAAGAACTCGAAATTGTTCACGCTGTGGAATCTAGAGACAAAGTCTGATATATAGATATCAGGAAACGCATTTAAGTTGCCGCCATAATGTAAATTATTGCATACTGGATCGCAAGATGAGCACAAGAATAGTGGAATAACGACCATGAACCAAGCACAGAAACCAGGGCCGAAAGCAAGGTAATCAAAAAAGCATGAAGGAGACTCACTCAATAGTAAGTTGTTATACGTTGAAGGTTTGAAGTAGAACAAATGTCTTGGAATTAGGAATTGCACTGCACTTAGGATTAGGGAATGCAAATCTCGCGAGATCGAGATTGCATTCCCTACTTATGATATAATACAAAAATAAATATTTTTACCTTATCCCACAAATGCAGCCAATGCAGTAGAGCCCTGTTGACAGGCTCATCGGACAATAGCTCAAGGTAGGACTGCGGCCTGTACTTGTCCACCCACAGCATGTTACCATTGACATCAGTGTCCATATCTGGTAGTGGTTGTGTAGCCACTTCTTCTGATATTACCTTCTGCTGCTTGTCTTCTAACTGGAATGTTATTGGTAGAAAAATTAATTATTGACGTTTTAGTATTTGTATTTGGATGAATATTAACTCGTCGAGTACTGTCATTATAAACACAATTATAGAACAATAGGTTGCGGTCACCGGTGACCGCTTGGTGTTTGACAGTTTAAATAAAGACATAACTAAATTATGAGTATGAGATAGTATTCATATATTTATTTATTTATTTAATATGCTTCATGCACAAAATGTACGAATAGGAGGACTTAATGCCGCAGGCATTTTCTGCCAGCCTGACCTTTACAAACTCTGACCTATCTAAAGCCCAATTGTTCTTATTGAAATACTAAAAGGTACCAAAAATGATTCCAGATTTTAAGTACATTTTCCTCAACGTTTTCTAGTCTTAACAAGTAAACACAATGGAATTTTTTTTTTTTAAGTTGCAATTGTACATATCAACTTACAATCTTCCGAGCCTCCACCCAGGTACTGGCATATGAGGCATGTAGAGACATCTGTTCCATTCCTTTATCCAACGAGTTCTCCCAGTCCTCCTCCGATTCTATCCTCACATACACACGGTCACCATCTGAGTTTGAGAGAGCTACAAATGGCCATCTGGAATACACATGACAATATTGTTAAAAGAAATATTTATTTGTTTGTATGGTTACCATATGAGTGGAGCCAAAGGTAGGTTATAGATTATATTTTTATAGATTATAGATTGATTATAGAAAGTAAATTACTTATAAAAACAAGGAAAGTAAAATGCTAGTCAGTGTTAGTGATAAATAGAATGAGCCTAAGCTCATTCTATTTCTAACACTTAAAAGCTATATAGATAGCTTTTAACAAATAAATGCTGTGATGCTGCTATGCTGTTATTTTAACAAAAAATAATGTTACCTTGGTATATCCAGTGACATGTTATCCTTAGCATTATATCTAGATCTACCACCCAGAGCGCGTCCACTGGGCTCCAATAAAATCTGTTTCAACCTCCTTCCTTCTAGAATCTTCTCAATTAATTCTAAATCAGTCTCTTCTTCCGTCTTCTGCCGTTTACTTGGTAACTCCACTTCATTGAAGTCTATATCTCCAATATCCCCAAAGAGTTCATCTACAGTTCTCTTATTAGAAACTTGGGTGAATTCCTCTAATGGTTGTAAGTTAGGAGTCAGTGAAATGTCTGTGCTCTCCGTAACACCAGAATTTGTGATAATATCCGGTGCATTGTTTGCAAAATTACTTGTAACTGGCTTCTTGGCTACTGGACTGGAGAAATCAAGACTTCTTTTAGCTGGTAAGGGCTTCTTTTTCACCACGCTGGGTTCTGAAAGTGATGTTTAGACGCAATATAAATAAACATAAACAGTAATACAAAAACTAACCTCTCCATTACTTTGAAGACATTTTACGGAACTTTGGTGTTAGCTGTCTAAGAAATGTGAATCTACCTGCATGATCCTCATCTTCTCTTAGCATTGCCAGTTCATCTGCGTACATTAACTCATATTCTTCATCAGGATCCGGATAATCACCCATTTTGCCGGCAAAACTTTAAACAGTTAAAAGTTAAGCAGTTAGAAAAGTTTGAGTCGCTCTTTATATGGCTAATTAACTAATAAACGGTTTATGAAGTTGTTTATATTAATTAATTACCAATGTTTCTATGAACTTAGAAAAATAAACGAAAATTCAAAACTTTGGTATGTTTACGCTAATGTCAAAAGTGACAGTTTGTAAATTCTGTATGACACCTTGACAGTGACAGCAGAAAATCATATTTATAGTGGCAACATTTTGATCCGATTTTAGAAGTTTTTTATTATATTTCATGGGCCGACGTTTGACTGGCCTGGCGATAAGCAATGATGCGGTCTACGATGGAGCACGTCGATTTAAATATTATGTAGTTGTAGGTAAATAATCCACTAACATAATATTCGGAATGAACTTAATTTGAAAAGACTTTACGGCACACAATACTTCGTTTATTGTTGTTATTTTATGTATAAGAACAATATCCAAATGCAATCGTTTATTGTGAATGCCATGAAGGTCAATAAATATTACTTATTTACCCACGTTCAACGGATAGAAATCATAATGACCATGCTGGCGTCGCGTCGAATGCATGCATTCATCAAATGACGATAGGTGGATTTGTCGTTGCTGGTTCGTGGACAGTTTTCATTGTTTATAAGCAAGATGCAAGGCATTTATCATTTGTAGGCCACCATCGATGATACACCCTATCCTATACCCTACCTATTACCCGAGCGTACGGCGCGTCGCGTTCCGCGCGCGCCTCAAAGAGCCATCAGGCCACCATGGATGGGGCCCAATAGGGCTGATGCCGATTCGGAGTTCCGGAGAACCTAACGGGTTACCGGGGCTCCAGTTCGAAGTGCAGGAGAAGGAACGGGGTGGTTTATAGGCAGTAAGTCTGACACTCCCTCCCGCCTCACCCAGACGGGCGCAGTCATTCGATGATTTTCCTCCTTAAAAAAAAATACCCTACCTATTGCAGACCGTCGTGGACTGTAAGCCATAATCATAACTTTGAAGCCCATAGACACTTAATTTCATTGATTAAGCAATAAACCTATCCAATTTAGGTCACGGTGCTCTTCGTTAATGGGATCGTGAAAAACTCAATTGACTGCGTTTATGACAACATCCAGTTACATTTTTACGACGTTGTTTATAATGGTGCTGAAATGAAATATGCCCCAACTATTTGCGTTTAAAATTCATTCATCTAGAAGGACTGGTGATTAAAATTATTGAGGATTCAAATTCAGCAATCGCTTTTGTAAACAGTAGCCACTAACTTGTCTAAGGTAGGTAGCGACTACCTACATCATTTGAGTTCAAAAATACTGCATTTCGCAAAAGATTGCACCTCACTTTGGTTCACTTGCTATCTTCCGTGTCGTATGTGCATATAATGTGAAGAGTTGTTCCATGCGGGATTGCGGGAGTCGAACCCGTATTAGATTGTGCAAGAGCCAATTACTCAACTACTGCGCCAATTTTGCAGGGAATAATTAAACTTATAATCTAAGAAATGAATAAATAAAACACCATGTATTATATATACGAAAGTTTTTTTAATAATTGGGTATATTTACAATAGATTAATTAACAAACGTGAGTTACATGAATAATGTTAGAAGAGGTACATGTCCGTTATACCTTTCGAGTTATTTTATTACATTCACACGTCAAAATACGAAAGTTACGCTATTCTTTATCTTAAGAGAGATCGTCGAAATTCGATATTGAATTGTATCCGGCTGTTGTAGCCATTGTGGACTTAAGTTACACGTAACTAGTAATTGGAATGTAGCCATGACGATCCAACACTTACCCAACACTAAATCGAGATCAATTTCAAAGAAACATGTCTTCTACAGTTATCTTAGTAATAGGCATAACATAAATAGGAAACAACATAAAATGAAAACGTACAACACTAAATAATATTTCAAATGTCTCATTAATTCTTAAAAAGCATTTTTAATCCAATTATTTAATATACTAGTGTTTCATTCTCATATTTTACTTTGTATATTATACAGACGGCGTCGTATCGTGCTTCTAAAATTTAAGGAAATATTCGAAAGTAAAAATATACTGGATCCGCAGTAACTAGGTATATTAGGCAATAATAATAGACAATAAATAATTGTAACAATTCATCGCAATTAAATAAAACATTAGGTAAACAATAATAATAATAAAAAATATCACTAAAACAAAGCAAAGATTCAATAAATCACAGACATCTACTTTTATCTAACCTTTATGATTGGAACGTATAATGAGATTCTTTTTTTATTTTATTATTATCATTAAATACTTACACCTCAGCATCCATAGACATTCACTCGACTAAACAATTTTATCTTAACTACGGCACTCGGGTAACTGACTGTGTCGGTATACTGGCCCTTACCCCTACCTGCAACGATTACTTAGGCTGTCCAACATTGTGAACCTTATGACTCATTTATCCTCTTACCAGATTATTACAACTTGCCATTATAATAGTAACTAAGCTCAAAATCCTCCCTCCTCCTTGACTTTCCAACATCAAACGATTCTGACGCGAACAACATTGATGAATGCATTTTGTTTCTGATTAACGTCTCTTTACTGGAGTCCTGAACCGAGTGCCACCCAGACATAAGCCTGCCGTCCATTTGTCTAAACTATGCTAACGGTTAAGACTTAGATGTATTATTTATTCGATTTTACTGTACAAAACGCTTAATCCTTCGCAAAATTTGACCTATTTGTTAATACATTTCATCGCTTCAACACAACAATCAAGTCGTCCCGCTTTGAGCCGGTCAATTAATTTAATACGTACACTTCATAGAAGGGCTTACCGGATTACATTACGACGGAGTTCCCGCACTATTGCATCCTCCCGCCTGCCAGACATTTCTCTAATATCATCTAACTATATGGCAATACGTTCATTTCACTACGTTTACGAAACTCTTAACTTACTAGCTAACCGCTGTTCTATTGGACTAAAACACCGCTTGGTCCGGCGGCACGAGAAAGTAACATTACCTGACAATTACCTACGTAAAGATTACGAACAGAGAAGAGAGTGCAGCTTCAACTACTACGTGGTTACATCAAACACCACAACAATTGTTGCACTTCGTCTGAACGAGCGGCGAGAGGCCGCGACGGCAACTGTCGTTGATTCTGACATACGACGAGTAGTCGTAGGTACACCTGTGACTGCGTGCTTCTCAGATACACCGCATCAACAGTCTTTTAAACTGCAGCTGTTAGAGCGCTCGTACACTGTCGTCAGGCCTCAGCAATGCCACGAGGTTGCCAGACGTGCTGGTACTTTGCCAACACGCACACTTTTCGACAGCAGTCACATCTCGCTAATCTCGCGGTTGCGTGTTAAAATATCGATCGCCGCGACCCAAATGGCCAGTGTACGGCGTCTCTAAAACTTGGCCATTTCTTCCTGCCATCCTCCCCCACACAATGCCTGACAGCACGCTGTCGCCCCAGTTATGAATATCGCTTAATATTGGATGTTACAAATGTCTAAAATGTTTTTGAAATTAAGTGTTTCCTCTAGATATCACATTCTCCCTTCGAAGTTAATTCAAAGTTCTAATGAATTATGAAGGTAGCACACAGAATTCGCGTATTCCTCCTTTCACTCATCTATCTATTGCAGTGACATTTTAAGTCTTGGTCAATCGTAATTATTTATTAAGCTTTTAGTACCTATTTTAATTAACTCACTTTCTTGAGCAATCACACCATGGATGACAAAAATATTTCCTATATATTATACTGCTTACTTTAACTACATAACACAATATAACAAGTGACTAGAATATATTGCACTCTGAATATTTAATAAAACACGGTGTAAGTATTGACTCATTAAGTCCTCGTTAGGCAAAAGCACATAGAAAACTCTCTTATGGCCGAAGGAGTGATAAAAAAACGTAGGTAAAGCTTAGGTTAGATTAACTAATTGGTTTGAAATGTTGACAGTCTACTTAGCATCCTCACTTCAAACCTGGTTGAACACTAGACGATTCAATAAACGTGTTGCTACTCGAAACGTTAAACCGAAGACGATTGACCAAGAGCTTCGAGTGTCAGAAGCCGACATCAAACACGACTGGGGCGGTCAGTGAGGGCCAAGCGAAGGACGGCGACCTCCGTTTGTCAGGCGGCGCTGATGGCGAGCGGGGGGGCGGGCGCGGGGTGCGCGGGCGCCGGCGGAGGGGACTCCACCGCGGCGCCGCACGCCTTCAGCTCCGTGAACACTTCGGTGAAGAAGCCGGGCTCCGAGTTGATCCTAAGCATGTTGAAGGAGAGTCGGTCGACGATCAGCAGGCACCGGTCCCAAAACTTATCTTTAGAGTCTTCGACTAGGAATGGTTTGAGCGGGTAGGAGATCTCGTTGCCCATGTAGGAGTAGGAGAGGTAGAGGCAGGTAAGGACGACGGCTTGCAGCTCCTGTGGACGGCCTATCCTCTCGCCATCGACCAGCTCGCGCACCAGCATGTACACGAACACCACGTTCGCAGGGTTGATAAAGGCCACATCCTGGAATTGCAAACATTTTCCTATGAGAAATTGTATAATTTAAAACATATCTTGTGGATGGAATACCGGACAAAGAATAAATGTATTTTGCATAAAATAATCCGACCTGAATAATCGATGCACGATTACTCAGTGTAACAAGCTACTTATTTAATTCTCCGCAAGAAGACCGACCTTCGGTACCAGACCTTCATATACCTTTGTCCCTGTTAGCCTTTTCTAAGATATGTAGCTTAAGGTCAGTACCTACTTAGCTTAGGTAAAATACGTAAATAAAGTCAAGCAAAAATAGAAAGTAACGTCACATCCCTGCAAAACCGCATCTCACTCCTATCAATGCATTTTCTTTTGAATTCTCTCTGACGACCAGCTCCAATACCCACGGATATTGTATTGAGACTCGCTACCAGTCTCGGTTACCTTTTCTGACGACAGATTTACTTATAGAAATGTAAGTTTGACATAGACTTTATAAAAATGTTTCAGAAATCTGATCATCAGACAAAAATCTGATAAAATTCTAAAGATTGCTAATAGAGACTAATATAAGTATAGTACAATTTAACTTTTGTTTTGACTTACATTTGTTGACAAGGTGGTACGGCTGCGAGTTATAAATGAGCGTGACTCATCGAGCCATATCGATCTGTTTCACCTGCCTCGATACCTTACAAGTTTCAGGGTTAGCGCACGAGGCTAGCTAATAACCAACTTTATGCAGGACCTTCTAATCAATGAAAACGTGATGTGTTCATATAGCTTCATATGTGTATAGATTTTATGATTATATTTGTGAAGATTGTACCTCTAGACTACTCTGTTCTTTTCGTGTGAAACTGCTAACAAAAGGGACTACACATTTGACAGAGACTGGGTAGCAGCTGATAAATCTGAACCTTATAAACGTCAATCGCCAAGCTGCTTTATGGCAAATCCTCTTTTTAGAGAAGTCCATCTTGTTGATGATGATTTTTTCTTAACAGTTCGACAACCAGCTGATTGATTGATTGAATTCAATCTATTCTTCTATGACACGTTACGGTAGAAAATTCTAGTGTCGATAAAAAAATAATCTGTGATCACAATACTATAGTTAACTTGACACTTTCACCTAGTTGCATTGACCTGGTTTATTCGTCATGCTGAATAATGAATAGACGTGGTACTTAATAATAGCTTTATTTTTGCTGCAGAACTGTATACGGCTGAACAAGGGGAATATGGCATACCTCTCTAATGTAGAGTAGAGAAAGCTTATAGTATAGTCGAGCAGTGGGCTGTTATGGGCTGTTCAAATTCAAATTCAAATTCATTTATTCATTGTCGATCACAGGTAGATACATAATACAGTTGTTATCATAGCTGTTGCTGAATTTAAAATATGTATGGATATTACCACTGCTTTTGTGTTTTGCATGGATCAGTTACAAGCAGAAAATAGTGTCTATCATCGTTCGATAAACTCCTCAAGGTTTACTAGTCAGTCAATGACCCCTTGCTTACCATCGTGATGTCTTTTGCATGACCTCAACCTCTACTACATCTAGCCGAGGTCAATCTTCATAGGTTTTATTTAAGGGACTTGAATCCTTTGAGTTAAAGCTAAGATAACTGTCAGGATCATCTGCCACGGTAATAATTAAGGAGGTAATTTAACATTGGAATGTCATCGTTGATGTAAAAAAAAAATTGCAAAGTTGTACAAAAGTATGTTTTGACATTCATTATGACCAAAAATACATAGGAATATTTATTTATGTATGTAAAATCTTCGATCAACAATAACAACTAGATATCGGGTCGGCGCAAGAAAATCGTCTCGACAAATAAGAGCTCACTTGAGAAGTGAGCTCTTATTTTGTTTAGTATGCTCCAAACACGGCCAACGTACTCACGTCTCACGAGTAATTGCAAGTTGCAAAAATAACAACCGAAAAAGCAGTATAACGGCCGGAGTGTCTTACTTTTGATAAGTACATAAAGTATAAGTTATATTTTAAGCTTTTAAACTAGTAAATAATATCAAATTAGACAAAATTATCAATTATAAACCAACGCCACCAATGTTTGTGCGTGTGTTGGCGATTCCTTGGCCAAGTCTCGCCAACATTTGTATAAACAGAACAGTGGATGCATGGAGTCGATTTGTATTGAAAAAATAAGAAATTGTATCGTTTCTTGCTCGTTCTTCTCCATAGGAATCTACACCTTGGAATGAGCAAATAGCTTCACTTTTAAATTTATATTGTTGTTGTTCAAAAGTGCCTTCCTGGTATAACTGAAATAAATAATTTTGACTTAGACTTAGACTTTTAACGATAAAGTAAATAAACATATCATACACAAAAACGTACCGCTAATAAAAATTAGTGATGTATACTAAGATCCCGAAATGTTAATTTTCATATTATAAAATTATTTTAGTGTCCAACGCGACTCCATACATACCTCCTGTAGCGAAATTCGAAATTTGAAGAAGCAAAACGAAACAAAACAAAACGATATAGATCGCAAGACAATAATGGAAAAATTATCTTTATTTGTTCGACCTTAAGGTTGAATTCAAACTAGATATTGTATAACTTATGTCTTTTAATTTCTACATGACAGGAGTAAGAAAATACTTTTCTTGTCTTATATGACGAATGGTCGTAAGTATTAGATAATATTTTGACGATTTATGACTTTATTATTAGGTGCCATGGTTTTTATTAGGTTGAACTTAAAACTATTTTAAAACATTTTTCTCTGTTTGTTATTTTTTACTATTATTATTCACACGGACAGAACTGGAGCTTGATTTTGTACGTAACCCTTTATCTAGTTGTTATTGTTGATCGAAGTGTAAAATAAAGTAAAAATACGTCACACTTTCAAGAAAATTCATCGAAAATTGTATGAAGATTCAAGCAAATAAATAACTGCGTAGTAGCTACGAAGATTCGGCTCGTACCCGCTACGAGTACCCGTAGCCCGTAGCACAGCTACATCGATTTACCGAAAATAGGCGGCAAGCTGTATTCCTTCGCCCACGCTATTTATCATCGGTCAATAGTAATTGCCACCTTTCCCCACATGAGGCCATTTTATAGCCGAGATTGTGAACATTTTTGCACACAAAAAATAGCCTTTTAAGATGCCATGAATAGCTTCGTATACATGCCTGAAAAATGGCTACGAAACTTGACCTGTTTAGGATGGTCTCTTTGTAAGGATTATGTTAACTTAAGAAAACAGTTTCATATTATTGAACGACTCATAGACAAACATTATTGCTTTCAACAAATTACTTTGTTTTTCATTTGTAAGAGTCACGTACACGCTAAAAATTACTTCGATTTCTACAAATAAGGATTCGACGGCAATTGTACCTGTGCCAAAAATTTTATTTTCTATCCTAACACCATAAAACTGATTATGAAAAAAAGGAAACACGAAACAAACTTTATTGTAATAAATTTCAACCAGAGAATGTATTTGCACAGCTCCTGACCCAGTTTTCCAAATAACTTTCAATATCGTGCAAACACATTCAATGAGTCAGCCGAGACATGGGACACAAAGCCTCCCCCAAAATTTGCTGTCCTTGCTTAATGGCTCCTTTTATTAATATACACGACAATATTACAAAGGACACAGCTTCTTAAAAGGTTTAGGAATATCAATTAATCTTAGTCGAAATAGATGAAACCCATGAGGCCATGATACGGAGAAATGAAGAAAACGTAACAAGATGAAACGTAGATTTTTGTTAGTGTAAGTTAAAAAAAAACGGTGTAAGGATAAATAAGTACTTAGTTCTTATCTATTAAGGTTCAATATCGTCAAGCCGTGACTGTCCAGTGCTGAGGTTGAACTATAAAACTTCTCAAGTTAAAAGTGTTTACAAAGCATGGTCACAGTTTTAAAAGATTCATGTTTACCAAAGAGACCTGCTACCTGGTAATTGTCAAATGAACATTACCTTAGTCAACTATTACGACAGCCACGGGGAAAATACGGTGATTTAGAATATTATTCCACAATTATGGAGCTTTAATCTATCTATCTATATAAATAAAAATGAGTTTCCGATCGTTAGTGTCGCTAAAACTCGAGAACGGCTGAACTGATTTGGCTAATTTTGGTCTTGAAACGTTTGTAGAAGTCCAGGGAACGTTTAAAAGGTGAGGAAAAAAATTGTAGTCAGTGCAAAGTTTGTCGGGTCAGCTATTTGGTAAATTATATTTCTTTTTCATACAAAACCATATGAACACATGCAAGATACGATTTCGCCATAGAAAAGACCGTGACCCATATAAAACACATGATACTTTTATTTTGATAACACGGGCAAAGCTGGGAATCGTCCCTGTATATTATCTCCATAAGCAATAAACCTTGATAGATAGTGCCAAAAGCATACAATAAGGAAATACTTTTCCAGTGTTACTACATAGAAATAAGCTACGACTGTAACCTTCATTAAATATGGCGACCACCACGGTCGTAGATTTACTATTGTAATCCATACACTGACAGTGACAAGTACTACAAGTACAAGTTGTACAGTAATTAGTTTCATCATTAATAAAGACCCAAATACTAAACTGTATTGTCTTCATCATCATCATCATCATCATCATCGGCCTATAAATGTTCACTGCTAAAAGAGGTTTATTTATAATCCAGCAAAGGATTATCACAGTTTATTAACAATAAACACAGTACATGTTTAAAATTATTTTACCATCATCATCAATAGCCTATGAATGCCCACTGCTGAGCAAAGCCTCACATCACACGGAAAAGGTTTGAACATTAATTAACCATTTTCTTGAGGTTTGTAGCCGGGGGGGGAAAGTTGTGTTAGGTGTTGTCTATTGTCCTCCTACTAATGATTATTTCACTGACTTCGAATCAGTTCTTGAATCATTGGGTTCCGAGTACACTCACCACATAATCATGGGCGATTTTAACACCAACCTTATGTCCCACGCCTCTCCTCGTTCCCGCAAACT